GCAGTTGGCAACTACGGGGAGAAGGTCCATGTCAGCCGAACATATGTCCCCCAATCATGTAATGTACTCGAGCAGGCAGCACTCCAAAGGAGAAACTCACGCATGCCGTCGCCACACACTGACAGCACCAACTGACTATCTCTTGACCATGTTGCCGAAGCAAGCAGGACCCACGATCACTGTTGCAAACTGGAGACATTGCAAGCAAACAACATTTCCTGAAACTCAGTAGCTACCAGGCCTCGTTGTGCGTATACAACGGTTACCGTATACACTGTACGGCTCGCTACTGTAGTCAGTTGCTGACCAATTGCAAGCCAAGCATTAAAGGGATATTCACACCTCTCGCTTGCTGGCGTAAAAATGGCGGCAGCCGCTGTTGGAGCACGAAGGGGCAGGAGCGCATGCCTGAAAAAGGGTTCTGAAGCAAGAGCGGTATGTCCGCTGAAAATAACTTTGGCTTTACTCCTGTATTTTTCATCTTGACCAGGGCTTTGAGAACATGCATCTGCTACGGGCGAGCTTTGTCTGGGGTTGTGATATTCAACACACCTTTCGAGACTTGGGATTTCAACAGTTCACGGGCTCAGAGTTAGGACAATTGGGAACTTGGATGTGGTTAAAGGGCTTCAGCCATTAAGTACATGTTTGAAGTCTGACCAGGAAGACGCTGGCAACCTGGCAGATCGACAGTGTTCCTATAATTAATTGTCGCGATCTACTCAACTGACTGAGGGCTTACGGTTTAGTCCTTAACGTCCCTACCCATCTTCATGCAGCAATGTTCGGTCGGTTTGAACGAGTTAGCCAATTGTCGGGCGCATCGTGGCGAGCTTCATGTGCCATGGTCGGCACGAAACTGGTCCTCTCACTTGATGCAGCACTGACACCAAGATGGCTTTTGGCAAATCCGCGACTCAAACTCAACATCTATGTAACTGCAGATCTCGCCCTTAAGGCCGTGTTATGCATGGGGTCGAATGATGAACAGTATTCCTTGGGACTCCCCAAGATAATTTTCGAAAAGAAGTCCCAAAACGGCTAATCACTGAAGCCCCTGCAGCTGTTGTAGCATTAGAGGATTGGGAAGCTGCGTGTCTCCAGCCCCCGCACCTGGACCAAAAGGGCGAGGTGAGGGTTTTCAAGTTAATCTCAATGCAGTGTCAACCTTTACCCTAAACCGAGACACCCTTTTCTGTTGAAGGATAGCGACACAAGCACTGTCTCTTGCAGTCCTGCTACCTGCGTACGTGGGGGAGAGGGCCTTGCATGTAAGCCCAGCATTCCTTTGCATCCATCAACCGACAACTCTACTCATTATATTCAAGCCACCTCTGCGACATGCGACGGGTCGAAGCAGGAATCAGCAGACTGCTTCTTTAACGAAGGACGGGTGGATGAATTTGTCATTAAAGCGGACTTCAACCCGTGAGTCCTAGACACTGCGCTATACGAACCTACAACCCAAAACCCTAAACCCCAAATGAGCCCTGGACCCTACTATTGGCGCAGGAACCGCGGGCAGCTTATCAAGGCTGAGCAAGAACTGGCGAGGCCGTTCATGGGCTTCGGGGTGGCGCTTCACAGATGTGGGGTTAAGCGTGTTCCGGATCTAATTCACGAGTTTAACATTCGGTGGTCGTCACGTGGAGTGCGTATCCTAGGGAATGGAGTGCTTGTGTGCTGACGTTTGCGGGCCTCGGCTGAAGAACGGCAGAAGGGCAATGCTGGCAGTCCTCAAGTCCGGTTTCAAAAAATTCACGAGTTCAACGAAAACGGTTTCCGGAATGCTTGCACCCAGGAGAGCTCAGGAAAATGAGCTGAAGAGACAGCAGAACGAGGTGGCGAAGTCTATAATGGAGCCTGGGCTACAAAAGTATCGGAGTTCGCGGAATGCGCGCTCCTGCTTGAAAGGAATTTGATTCGACCGTATGGTTGTATTGGGCCTATATCCTTGCAATTGGCAATGGACGTGTGCAACCACCTCCTGACGCTGTAGCTGCTGCTGCTGCTGCTGCTGTTGCTACAACTACCACCGAGGCTGCTGCTACAACTGCTCTCGAACGATGTGGGGAAAGTTTAGTTTTTTGGTGAACACTGGCGTCACCAACCGACGCTGAGCCTACCACCACCACCACGACGACGACGACGACGACTACTACTACTACTGCTACTTCTACCACTACTACTACTACTACTACTACTACTACTACTGCTACTGCTACTGCTACTGCTACTGCTACTGCTACTGCTACTGCTACTGCTACTGCTACCGCTACCAGTACTTCTCTTGCTGCTGCTTCTGCCACCGCTACTGCAACTGCTACTGCTACTTCTACTACTTCTTCTACTACTTCTTCTATTTCTATTACTACTACTATTATTACTTTTGCTACTTCTGGAGCTGTTGCCACCGACCCAGCCACGCACCCACCCACCGACCCACGGACCTACATACCTACCAGCTTTCCTGCCTACCTACCTAAGCCTAGGTACTTAACTACCTACCTGACTTTGTAATGCACTCACGAATTAACATACTAGCGTAGTGACGAGCTGACTACCAAACAAATCGCTGAATGGCAAGCAAGCTAGCTGATGAACTTACTTACTTGCATACTATCCAGCTGATAATGCCAGACAACTCGGCAGAGTTGTGACCTGTATAAGCAAACAAGCAGAAAAGAAGAGAAACGGATAACAAGGAAGAGGTGCGTGACAGCTACTGCAGCACCACCACAACCGATGACGACAGTGGCGACAGCAATGCAGGTGCAACCTAAGACAGGGAAAGCAGACGCGGCTGCCACAAACCCTGGACCGTCAGCAGCAACGAGAGCAACCCTTCGAAGGAGAAGTACGACTCAGACAACTCTGGAGCTCTCAGTGCCTGGCTGAAAAGAAGGGGTCGAGGGGTTGAGTACAGGACTTCAGGTTCAGGCCTTCTTAGTCTTGAGAAGCTGTAGGGAGGTTCGGACAAGTCAGAGCTCTGAAAAGACTGTTCTTGCGGTTCAGAGTTTTGCTTTAGATTTCAAGAGCGGCACAGCCCCGGATGCCCATTCCGCACAGGGCCTCCCTGCCGCTTTGGGTTGACATTTTTGGAGACCGGGGTTAATGCCACTTAAGGTTTGAGGGTTTAGGGTCTTAAGCTGGTTTCTGGCGAAGTTTGCATGATGTTGAATCTTGTCTTCTCAACCTGCATCTTGGCCTGTAGCAAATACAGGAGCCGCATATGGTATCATATAATTAGCCCAAACCCGATCGCTTTCGCAGAGTGCTTTCAGTCTCAGAAGGGTCAGAGCTTGCACAAGCTTGACTAGGGTATCCATGTTCAGCTTTGTGAGGGTCAGTTCGGGGCAGATTCACGAAGCTCCGACGCGATGGTTCGCTACATCCTAGGGTCCTAGACCCAACATCTGGTAAACTGAGACAGCAAGCACGAAGGTAATCCTGAAATGAAGTAACTAAGCTTGAACGACCTATGTCATGAAGGTTCGCAGGAAGGAGACGGCATACCTTGGAGCTCAAGAAACGATTCAGGGATGTTGGGTTTCTTTCTGCTTCGGTGATTATATACTTATACAGATTAGAGATTTGGGGTTCTGGTACAGCAGGCACATGAACGAGCCCTGGAGCAAAAAGGCTGGGGTTTAGGATTTCACAGAGCCCAGGAGTTTTTTTCTGCACAGCATTCAGAAAGAAGTTGTGTGGTCTTGCATCCCTTGCGTCTCCAACCTGCCAACCTGCCTGGTGCATGACATCCTGCATCAGCCCCAAAACGCGGCTAAGGGATGACAGAGCTGCTGTGCAAAACTGTGCTCGTTGGAATGCTTGCGTAAGAAGAAGCATGCTCTCTATTCAGCCCTAAACTCCAAACCCTTAAACCCTCAAACCCTTAAACCCTAAACCCTAAACCTTAAACGCCCTGAAGCCCTCAAGCCCCCCTATCCGGAGCCATTAATCTCCAAAGGTCCCAAGGAGCTGAAACGGATGCTCCGGGATTACTCCCAGCACCGCTTTAAAGTGGAGGTGCGTCTTGCGGCTCGGGGTGGGCTTGGGGGCTATAGCGGTGCTTGATCATTTATGGTTTAAAGGGGTTTTTCAGGTTTGGACGAGAGTATTTCAAGCCTTGGGCCAGGTTTGGAGAACAAGCGTTTTCCGCCAATGGACACAGTAACGGACACCATGAATTCCTGCCATGAAGGCTGGTGTCGATGGATGAATGTGAAACCGGTTCCAATAAAAACAAGTATCACCGGTCGCCACAAGATTTATGCATCGACCCAAGGCATCGTGTCCAACAAAGGGCACACAACCCAACAGGAAGAGCGTTAGCGGCTGCTCCCTTAGACCCCCGACTGCATCATCTGTGCCTACCTTCACTGGTGCATGCCGTTTTTTCGTGAAAATACCCATAGGCCTCATAGTAGTTCCTTTTTGGGGTTCATATTTAGAATCCTATAAGGTAATCCCTAAAAGGAACTACTATGGGGCCTATGCATAGCGCTTCAAACCATGACGATCCGTTGACAAGCTGCACCAAAGCCTCGAGAGGGTTATATCATCGCAGCGGAACCGGCATTGCAATGGCACGAGCAGCACTGCGCCTGCGGTGGTACTTCCGTTGGTGTTTATGAGTTCACACAACGACAGGAATTTTTTGTAGCGTGAATCTTGGTGTCCGCAAACCGGAATGGGGTGCCTCATCCCAACAACAGGTGCAGCCTTCGGCAGAGGATTTGATCTTTCTGTTCCGCGCCTCGCCATGACTTACACATTTTTTGTGTCCTGTGGGGTGATAACTTGGACTCTGGCCGCGAAGGTGAATGCACTGTCGAGGCTGTCAGCTTGCCACGGCTGTCGTTATGATGGTTTCCACTTCCTACTATTACTACTGCTGTTGCTGCTGCTGCCGCTGCTACGGCAGCTGCTACTGTTCCGGGTAGCAGTATCGTGTACGTCTTCTTAGTTTCTGCTTGGGATCGCTGCATTGTGCCCAGGCCTCTTCGACTCGAAGCCAGATGGTGTGATCGATCGGGACGAGGCAGCATGTGAGTTAATACGCCTGAGCAGAATCAGCGCCGCATAAACCTATGTTTGCATGTACAAGGACAGGTCGCAGATAGGGTGTGGGATTTGTTTTTGAATCTTGCACGTAAATAAATGACCGTGTGTAGGAGTTGCATGAGCGAAGTTATGAATATAATCAAGCGCAGCCATCACGTCTCACATTCGGACAGTTTCTTCAAGCTGTGCGGCTTCTCTGCTGCTGCAGGTCATGAGCATCGTGGGAGCCTGGGGCGAGCCTCTCGCCATGAAACCACGGCTAGGGCCGGTAAGGGTTCATTCGCAGGTTCCGGATATTTCAGGTCAGCCGGCATCGTGTCGAGCTAGTATGTGCAATGCTGCGTGCACGCTCATTTGATTACGGGCCTTCGATTTGCCTGCGCTGATTTGGTGACTGCATGTCAAAGCCTGACCAATAGTGACAAGAGTGTCTGACCCCACCTTGGCAAGCATGCCGCTCCTTTGCCAGACACGTGTCCATGTCAACCAGCAGTCCAGAAATCCAAAATCCGACAACCGGATGTAAAAGCCCAAGTTACTGTCGGCAGAAGGGATATTAATACGGCAGCCCACGAGCAATGCCAAGAATGTCTGCCAGGTTCATGAAGCAGAAGCAGCTGGCGCGGGACTTGTTAAAAGATTCATGTGGGATTGCGGTTCATCCGGATTGGGTGATGTTTGGTCTGGCGGGTGTCCTCGTCGAAGAAGCCCTGCTATGATGAGGTCGTGAAGCTTCTTTCCAAGCTCCCTTAGCATCTAAGTTCTAGTTGGCCCGGGAACTCGCATGCAGCCCATGAGCCAAACAGACAGCTCCCACCCAAACACCTTGCACGGATGTGGGTAGTTCCCTAAATTAGGGTCCCTTCGAGGGTCCTTTTTATAAGGGTGCCGTACTATATTGGGCCAATATTGGGGACCTAAAAGGGACCCTAATTTAGAAAACTACCCATGTGCCAGCATGAGGAGGTGCCAATCCCCAGAGCTTTCCGGGGTTCGACGCCTTCTCTTCCACAACTGATCCTCAAGTCAAATGAGACGGTAGCGTGATGCCATGTGATGCCGAAGTCTCGGCAGAGGTCCTGCCCTAAAGCCCCGGAGGCACCAAAGCCTTAAGATCTTAAGCCGTCTTTAGCCCTATACACCTTAAGTCTTAAGACCAGGATGCACCCACAATGCGTGAACATTGCCCAACCTCTAACCAGAGTCGTTTATTTCTCGTCCAGCCTGCCAACTTCCTTATGCGAGAGGCTGCGAGCACAAGACCCCGCAGTGAACTCGAGAAAGTTGGAAGTGGATAGCAGGATGATGAATGCTGGGGTTGCCAGTAAGCCTAAAGTTGCCCTAATCAGACTCTGAAGTGCCGGAAGAGGTGCAGAACTTGGCCGTGAAGTTTGACAAGGACGCTGACAACCAGATCGATCTTACGGAGCTGCAGGAGATTCGGTGCCCGCATGTTCCCGCAGAGTCTTGGGCGTGTAGGGGGTGTAGGGCAGGGGAAGAGAGGTATTTTGGATCTAAGGTTTCGAGGTGTACGGATTCCGGAAAGGCCTGAGTCTACTGTAGATGTCCTAGACCCAACCCCGCCCGTTGGAGTCTTTCATGGACGTTTGTGTCTACTAGCTATAGTCTCCATTGTAGTTCCTTTTTTGGGGATACCTTATGAAATCCATAATATATATTTGGTTAAACCAAAAAAAGGAACTACAATGGAGACTATAGGTACTAAGGTCTTGATCGCGGAAGTCTTTGCCAGTTCCTTTAGGATCTTTAGGGACCAGAGTGGTCTGGCTGGTCTTTTTTGATGGCATGAGAGTCCGACACATGCGTACAGAGTAAAGTAAACGAGATCAATAATGTGGGGGCCTAAATAATTACCGAAACTATTTTGGGGGTTCCGTCTTATAATTCTACTATGAAGGACCCCCAAACCCTGTTCAGAAATTTATTAAGGCCCCTAGTCCCGTTTTCTTAAGAACCGCAGAGCACCTAGAGGCAAGGGGTTTAGGGTTTAGGTGTATGCATCAGGGAGCTTCATTTGTGTTTGGAGTTACTCCACACGCCGCAGGTTACATAAAAATAGTCATTCTACTGTGAGTTCTGCACTTCGGAGATGGTCTTGCTAGCCCTCTGAGGGTTGTCATAGGACATACCATGTTCGATTAAAGGAAGACGGTCTTGCTCTTATAAAACACACAGTGAGGTTAGTGGGAATCCTACTGGTATGGAGCGCTTGTTGACGTTCGTAGGGCATCGAAGACTGCTGACTTGCCACTTTCGTGCAATGCACCGTCGTCGCGCAGGGGCTTTATCACGTTCCAGGTCGCTTTAGGGCCTCATGGTTCAAGTAGGGTTTTCTCCGTGACATCAGAAGGTGTAGCTTGCAGCCAGGACATCCTGGATGCTACGAACAAAAAGCCGGTGAAGCCCGAGATCACGCAATGGGTGATGCGGGAGGCTGGCCAGTGGAAATAGGGTAGTGGTACAGGGTTTAAGGTGGCGCGGTAGACCTTGGAGCGTTCCGCTTCAAATCGCTCAGTCCGTGTCTCCTGCTACGCACAAAGCTTTTGCAAGGCAGATGTGTCTGGCAACGGGAGTTTGAGCAGCTCGGCTCAAATAGCTGAAACAGCTGTTGCAGAATTGTAGGAATGCCGGTGCCCTGACCCTTTCGCAGTTGCACGAAAGCTTGCCCCCGGTTCTTGAACAATCATTTTTTTGAACTCTATCGATACGGGCTCGCAGGTTACAAAGACCAACCCTGCGGGGTGAGTTCCTCACCCCAGACCCTCAACTATTTAGTTTCAACAAGAAGGCAATGCTAGAACTCCCACATCAGTCGATGATCTTACGCTCAACCTGCCACGCTGCCTTGATGCAAAGACAACCTGTCGCAATATGCCGCAATGGTGATGCACCATGCTGCATTCATAGGCCATGGAGCTCAACTTATGCCACATTATTTCGGTCTTCCTGAGGATTGCCCTAAACACAAAACAGTATATGACCCAAACCTCGAATCCGTAGGCGCTGAACCCCAGAATGCATACTGGGTGTCACGCTCGTAGTCATAGCGCTACCGCTCCGTGACTCGTTTCTACTCCTCCTACCACTACGACTGCTGCTGCTGCTGCTGCTGCTAGTCCTGCCCCGGCGACGGCGGTCCGGAGGCGGTATGATGACTACCAGGGCTTGGCAAACTGCTTGCGTGTTCTCCAAACTGCCGAGCGAGGAGCGGCAAGCACGTGTATCTTGTCATGTGGGGGTTTCCGAAAATAGGGGACCCTAGTATAGCACCCTAAATAATAGGATCCCTATTATAAGGACCCCAAAATAAGGTACCCCTAATTTTCTGAAACTCCCATGTTGATTCACCGTGCCGGGCCGAAACATGGGCAGCTACGGAGCAGACACGAAACACCAATGTTAGCGAGCCCTTTGTTTTTAGGTTTTTCAGCATGATTCATGGCGGGAGGCGTCCCGATTTCCCAATGTAGACCCGAGATCTCTAACTCTTGCAAGCTGTGAAGTCTTCAAGCCCATGGACTGCAACGTCCACAATCCCAAAGCCCATACAAGCTGCGATGCCCGAAAGAGCAACGTCAACTACGAGCAAAATGCGAGTTGGCAGCCATCACGATCATAACGTCAGAAATTACAACATGGCATTATGGAATATTGTGCCACCCTTCCCCCTTCTGTTGCACCCTAGCCCTTGACCGTATCGACGGTTCGATTCCCAGATCATCTCGAGCTGGCGCGAGCTCTCTGCACCTTTGAGCTGCTTAGCAAGGCTTGTCACCCTCGGGGTATGGCGGGGGCGGGGGGGGGGGGGGGTAATGATTTTTTTTGGAATCTCTAGTGGTTGTGTGAGGCGACGTTGTGGTTGAGGGGCTGCTTACTGAAAACTATGGGGAGCTTTGGGGTTGCGGTGTTACGGTTATCATCTTTACGGCTTAGGGCCTTGCCGGCACGAGGGTTGTCCCCATCTGGAGCAGCCATATATCAGGAACACCCCAGAGGCACAGGAATACTGGATGCGCCTCAGCCATTTCATGCCTTGGATGCACGTTTCCAGCAGGGTTCAAGGCGGTTTCGATATGTCAGTTCCGAGAGAGTACCTATTTCACAGGACCTTTTTTGTACAGTGTTTGTGTGTTTCGTTATATCCCAAACCGTTAAGCGGAGTCCTCAACCCGAAGCCCTACACAGGCGAGAACCCGAGGCCAAACCCGAACTGCCCTACTCGTGTAGGAACCTGATTATGAAACCCAGGCNNCATATGAAGATCCCGAATAAAGACCCAAGGTGTTTAAATCAGGTTCCTATATATATATATATTTTTTTTATTTATTACCATATATTCTAGAACCAGATAGATCCCTTATAAAACCCTTTAACGAAGCCTATAAACTTACTATAGAACCATTAAAGGTCCCTTATAGAACCCTTCAAAGAAGTCTCTCTCTCTCTCTCTATATATATATATAACCCTAAACCCTATACATTGAGCCCTAAACCCTAAATTACATAATAGACAGACCCTAAACCCCAAACCTTAAACCCTATATATTCAACCCTAAACCCCAAAGCTTATATATTAAACCCTAAACCCCAAACCCTATATATTAAACCCTAAACCCTAAACCCTGCATATTAAACCCTAAAACCTAAACCCTTTATGTTTGACCCTCACCCACAAACCCCGAAGCCCCAAGCCGCCTGGGAGCTCGTGGTCCAGGGCGAGCCCAAGCTGCGGAAGGACCTACAAGCAGGCTGAGTTGCTCTAGAGGAGTTTAGGGTTTCGGGTTTAGGAGTTTAGGGGTTTAGGGTGTATAGGGTTTAGCTTAGACGTTGAAAGCTTTCGAGTTTTGGGCTTGTCGGGGGTTTGGGTTTACATCACGAATCCCTAACCGCGATTCGGTCCGTTGGGTGTAGGGCGAAAGGGTCTAGGGCCTAGGGCCTCGGCAAACTAGGGGTCTGTGACTTTAGGTTCATCTGCACGCGGGTTTATGCACCTTTACCCACTTCTAGGTGGCACTGGGAAACATGTTAATTTCCCTTTATGGTTCCTATAGACTATAGAGGTAATTCTTTTAAGGGCCTCAAAACCACAATCAGACTTTCACAATCTTGCCTTCAGACCTGGATTTGTCTGAGTGTAAGTCTCAGCAAAAGTCCAACACACTCCTCCCTGAAATGCCCCCGATGCGGAAGACAGCCATAAGGGAGCTGGCGTGAGCTTGTAGGGACGGGTCTCAAGGCACGCAGTGTTCGGATCTAACTTTATTGAGGGTGGGCCATGTGTATCAGCCTTCATGCAGCCATCCTTGCACGGTAGTATGAAACTAGAAACCGTGGTGCAGGTCAGGTACATGGTCCATGGCAGTCACAGTCTACAGAACACCGAGATGACCCCTGAAACCCCAAAGCTGGAAGCCCCAAACCTCTCAGAGAGAAGCTCGGTGGTGCAGGTATTGTCATCGACGACGACCTTCCCAAACCTGCCAAGTCATCCTTCTGCACTGTACAGTAACTTGGGGCTCAGGGTAGAGTTCACACTTTCTTTTCTTCGGCTTGTTCAATCGTTTACTCACGATGAAGTGAACGACTGTTGCTGTTCCGTGGAGGCGTGTGGTACTTCTTCTGGTACGACAGCAGCAGCAACAATGACAGTTTGCTTTTGCTACTGCTGCAGCTACTACTGCTACTGCCACTGCTACGGCTACTACTACCACCACCACGACGACTACTACTCCTACTGCTGCTACTCCTCCTCCTACTACTGCTACTACTACTACTACTACTACTACTACTACCTCTTTGTGGCTTTACTTCTAGCTCTACCTCTACGACGAGACTGGGTCTGCACCTACGGCTACCAAAGTTCTGCTGGTCTGGTTGTGACGAGTACTGACATTGATGCTGCACATGCTGGTTGTTGTGTTCTATTCACAGCTGCCCACCAGGGACCCTGCAGCCCCACACCTTGCTGCTTTGAGAACTCCTGTGCTTTCAGTCGAACCAACGCGTTTATGGTCGACGAGAGGAGCATGTTTGATATGTTAGGCAGGCTTCGAGTCTGGCCAACCCTGCAAAACAGAGAGAAGGGCATGCTGAAGTGTTGTGGTCTTGTAAGGAATGTAAGGTGCAGCACCCCATTTGCTGTCTTCCACCGTCGTTCACGTGTTTGCATTGACATGCCCTCGATGTGTGTCCCAGAATCTGGGATTGCGCCTGCTGCACGACGATGCTCTCAGCACATATCCTGGCTCTGACATAGACCTTCAACCGCTCTTTGCGACGTGATGCAATCGTCCCGTGGTGGTTGGTAGGTCCCTTAATCCTACACCCTCAACCCTGACTCAACCCTCAGTGTCATTCCGGGAAGCCTGTCGGAGTTGCCCAAAAACCCCCGCAACTTGCCATCGTCCGCCACGTCGAGTGCAGCTCTTCCTCCAAAACAGAGAAAACAATTCGTCGTTAGCCGTCCTGGAGTACGTGGATTTTGCAGATAGTAGGATGCATAGGTCAGCTCCCAGGTCTCTAGATTCCAGGGAGCTTGCATCTTCGCAGACTCTGGGTTTGTATGTCGAGCTGGGTGTTTCACTTCGTCTCACCGAAGCCGAATCTTTCGGCGCTTCTTGTGGCGATGCTGCCTCTATCCAAAACGGGTGTTTTACGCCCCCGGGCGTCCTGCGACTTGAACAGTTGGTGACCTAAGCCCTAAACCCTAACATCTTGCATTGGTCAGCCCCTGTTATAGCTAGAAGCCCTGAGCCGAGATGAATTCTTCCCTGACCGGTTGGTTTGGTTTGCGCAGCAGTTCCGGCAATCCTGAGCATGTCTGTTTACTTGTGAGCTCTTTTTGCGCATGTAGCAAGATGAAGCCCTGAGTGAGCCCTCAGGCAATTTTGCCAGTAAGGCTGGCATCAGAACCTCCCTTGACATCGAGCACCCGTGGAGGAAGGCAGCTTTGACATCGGTGATTCGGTGCTGGCTCTCTCGTGCTTAATGAAAGGATGAGCTCTCTCAATCAGTCTACCCATAGGCCCCATAGTAGTTCCTTTTTGGGGTTCCCTTATAGGATTCTAAATATGAACCCCAAAAAGGAACTACTATGGGGCCTATGGGTAGTTGGAGCCAGCTTTGCAATTCGAACCGCCAGGACAGCCCCCCCAGAGTCTCCAGGTAGAACTTCATCTTAAGAACGCAAACCTCAAGCTGGAGAGTTGTAAAGTTGAGGGTTTTGGCGTTAATGTATATTTTAGCATAGTATATTGCAACTTATGATAGTATAGTATTGCATAGTAGATGCTATTATTTGTGTAGTACAATGCAACTGTTCCGCAGAGGGGGTTTGTGATGTGAGACCAGTCGTCCTAGCATCCGTGTCGACGACGAGTCTGGCAAGGTGACAAGCTCGTATCTTTGACGGTGTCTAATAGGCTGTTTAGAAGCAACAGCTTCGGGTCGACTTAGTTCTTTGAACTAATATAGGGGCCTTAATAATTAGACTAGGGTTTTGAGGCCCATTATGCTATAATTATAATAAGGAACCCCCAAAATAGTATAGGTAATTATTAAGGCCCCTACATTATCGTCCTAATCTGGTTTCCGACAGAGCTTGGGCTAAGCCTTTCATGATACGAGCACGGGATCTCCCACCCCACCCTTCGCCGATGAGACCGCCATGTGCAACTCGGAGAAGAAAACGAGTTCTGACGGGGGTTTAGGGTTTGGGGGTTTAGGGGTTTAGGGGTTTAGGGTTTAGGGTTTAGGGTTTAGGGTTTAGGGGTTTAGGGTTTAGGGGTTTAGGGTTTAGGGGGTGGTCTGGCCGGCACCTCAGTCCGTGCTGAAAAAAGGGGGTGGCGTGTTCGCTGGCACACAATCTAAGCCCATGCTGAAGAGGGGGTTAAGATGGATTACGGGTTCATGGTTTTTAAGGGGGCTCATACGCAGCGTCGAGTATAGATTACGGGTTTGTGGTTTTTAAGGGGGGTCAGAAACAGCGTCGAGTTACCTAAGCTACTGGCAGGGCACTGCTAGGCTGAAGGTCTTTGCTTTTTTGTTGTTTTTTCGGCTGCTGAGGCAAGCTGCGGCAAGCCTTAAACCTCTTCCGAGAAAGTGCCTAGACACAGTTTGGTTAGCTGCCATGAGTACTTTCAAAGATCGTCGTGAAAAGCAAGTCTTCACGCCCGCACACAGGTGTAGTGGGTTCTCTTCCTGTCTCCAGTCTGACTTTGTTGGCATTCCGGGCTTGGTTTTCCAGTCCAAGTCTTCAATGGGGTCGTGATCACGGATCCCTACTTCGCTTGAAGGGAATACGGTTCTCCCTGAACCACCAGACCTTGAAGAGCCGTTCGCTATACCTTCGGCTTGCAGCATTGGCGGCCCTCCATGCTTCATGCCCTGGCCGAGCATGCGGCACCAGGCCCTTCAGTTGTCAGTTTTGGTAGTGCGGCCTTGAGGGGCTTGCGGGTGTATGGCTTAGGCCTTTGAATCCTTGTTTCCCTCACCACTCACTTTCAGGCTGCCGCATAAAGGGATGCCCTGAAACTCGGATCTCTTTCGATGTTACGGGGTGACGTGCTCTCTTAGGGGTTCGAGAAGATCCCATAAGGAGACCCGGATCTACCGTAACACTGTTCTTCACGGCTCCTTGAGATGTTAGAACGTCGAACATACCCGGCCCTAAACCCTATTCAAACTACTAAGATTTACGTAAAGTTTGCGGCCCCTATCCTATAGAACCACCAGCACTGGCTGCTTACTCTCAAAGCTGCACTTCTTGCCCCCGAAGACGATGCAAGGGATCTCCAACGATGCGGCTCTTCTTCATGCGGCTTTCAGAATATTCGGAGTCTTCTAAAGATCGTTATAACAAGGCTCCGATCTTTCTAGGCCTACAGCCTATATATTGAGGGCCGGTCCCTGATCTTCTGAAACTCCCGGATCATTGGTAACATGGTCGCCATTATTAACAGTAAGTGCTTTAACTGCTGTTACCATAAGCGTCTTGGTGCCGAACTCAAGCATCTCTCCCCCTCATCTTGAAAATCTAGGGTTAGGTTCATAACACAAGTGTGCAACCCTCTTTTGGCGTAGGAAATAATGCCATATTACCTCGGCATAGGGAGAAGTTCTCCTTGGTTGTTGGCTTGGGAATTCCGGATGTCCGCGATGTGGAAACCCTTCGAGCTTTGGGAAAGGACTGGCTTCCGTACCCTCATCAGTCAGAGCTCCTGAGTCTATTTGCTCAGCAATACCACCGGAATCCTATCCCGATTATTAAGACGAGCAGCTGGAAGTTGTGAAGAGGCTGTTTCTTCCAACGGCTTTCCCTGCAAGTTCCTGTTTGGTGAGTCTGGATAGGAGAGGCGTTGTGAAGGTTCATGAGAGCAGGCTAACTGCCAGGGGTTAGCTCACTTGATGACAACCATAAATTGAGCACTTGCATTCCATGCACGCCTATCCAGAATCCAGCAGCATCCAGTCGCTCGCCTCTGCATTGGCCACAAGCTGTATGCTTAGGACATTCTACCGCTCCAGAGGAAAGCCGTTAACTCTAAAACCCTGGCACGCGTCCGCCGTCAGCACCCTAAACCCTACACCCTAAACCCTAAACCCTAAACCCTACCTGTAAGATTCGGCACGCAGGGACATGGGCATCAAGCAGTTGGGGAAATACTTGAAAACGGCCGCCCCAGAGATCTGGCAGCAACATGTTTCATTGGGTTAAGTTTACCTATAGTCTCCACTGTAGTTCCTTTTTTTGGTTTAACCAAATATATATTATCGATTTCATAAGGTATCACCAAAAAGGAACTACAATGGAGACTATAGGTAAGCTTAAGGGTCAGCAGGTTAGGATTTTCGGGCTTGATGCCTCCCACTTCCCATGCCGCATGATCAGAAGGTCGACGGCCAAGTTTGCGATCCGACAGACCACATCTTGAATTCCCCCAGGATGCATATGGACATGCGGCCCTGAAGGCTAAAACCTAAACCGGTTTAGGGTTTAGGAAACCCTTACACCCTAAACCGGTTTTGCATGTTATGAGTCGTTAGCCTGTCGGCCCTGCTGGGATGCAAAAGTGTCGCAAGTATCACAGCGCCCTTCGTGCTTAGTGTGACTTGCACGTCCTTGAGCTCCCTAATATGAGATCCGGAACCATGTCGATGAGTCCTCCACGCTCTTCCTTGCGATCGATCGTTGCTCTTCACGATTCAGGTCCCAAAACTAGTGTCCCCTCTGTCTCTGAATCTGCTCAGGGAAAGGAACATTGACCATGTAAACGTCGACTGATGCACTTGCTATGACCATCCGTCTTCACGACCCCAAACGGTCAATGACTCGGCGAGACAGACTACTTCCCAAAGCGATGCAACAGAGAACCTGCTCCTTTAGTATCCGTGAATCGACTGACGGGCTTACATTGCAGCTTTTGACGTACCAAGTACATTGCACGCGCAATAAAACAGGGACAGGTGTTTATTGGTGGCAGTGCTCGGAACATCTGGCGCCCAGGATGA